GGGGAGGTGTCAATGGGAAGGGGACAGGGTGATACTGGAGAGGAGAGGGTAAAGACATTGGGGGCTGGAGGAGGAGGCGCTGGGAGAAGGCTTGAAAGAAGGAGTGAGCATGAGGAAGGCCAGGATGGCGCAAGTCATGTGTGAAAGCACAGAGGGGCATGAAGGGAATGGGGGCAGAGAGTGGTGAGGGGGTGGGCATCAGGGAAAAAGAGGGAAAAGGGCAGGGGCAGTGAGGGAAGGGGGAGGCACCAGGAGGGTGCAGGGCTAAGGGAAGGTGCAGGTGCCAGGGGATTCTGAGGGTAAAGCAGAAGGGCAGACACCTGCAAGGAAGGGACCAGCACCAGAGGAGAGAGGCAGGGCATGTGTGTAGAGGGAGGTGTTAGAAGAGTGGATAAGGAGGGTAGCTCACATGATCAGAGTGGGGCTACTGGAGGAGTGGGCACAGGGGGCAGAGAAGGGCTGGTGGAGGGGGGCAGGTCGCAGGAGGGCTGAGGGCAGTGAGAAGGGCAGGAGTCAGAACAGCAGAGGAGGGTGAGGAGTTGAGGGGGCAGCAGGCACCAGGGGAGCTGATGGAACAAGGGGGAGGAGATATGGCAGCAGAGAGAAAAGGTAAAGGTTTAAAAATATTTATTAATAACTTGGGTGCCACAGTGGCACATCCAAACAAGCCACATGAACTCATTACTGGTGCACAACACAAAATTCTTTCTGCTCCTGGCAGGAAACTCTTAGGCTATGTCTACACTGGCAGTTTCTTGTGCAAGAACATCTTGCACAAGGGTTCTTGTGCAAGAACACGTCCACACTGCCATGTGTGAGTTGTGCTTTTGCACAAGAGCATCCATGGCAGTGTGGACGCTCTCTTGCCCAGGAAAGCTCCGATGGCCATTTTAGCCCTTCGGGTTTCTTGTGCAAGATATCGCTGCCAAGCATCCATGCTGCCCTCTTGTGCAAGAGAGCTTACACCTGTTAGAAAAGAGCGTAGCTCTTGCGCAAGATGCCCAGTCTTACCATGCCGTACTGTAATTGCTCTTGCGCAATGTGGATGATCTGTGGGTTCTTGCACAAGAATGGCTGTACTTGCACAAGAAGCCGCGAGTGTAGACATAGCCTTAGAGGGAACACTTCCCCCAGCCTCTCTGCCCCCGAGTTAATGTCACACACATTGGGTTAATGCAACTGCAGGATAGTTTCATGCGGGGGGTTTGGTGGGAGCCATACTAATCCCTGTTGGTAGGAGGATGGTGGGAAAAGCCCTTCAGTGGGAAATAGGTCAATGGAGGGATGATAGGAGTTACTATAGAGAACTTTCTGGGTGTCTGGCTGATGAGTCTTGCCCACATGCTCAGAGTTTAGCTGATCGCCATATTTGGGGTCGGGAAGGAATTTTCCTCCAGGGTAGATTGGCAGAGGCCCTGGAGGTTTTTCACCTTCCTCTGTAGCATGGGGTACAGTTCACAGCTAGAGGATTCTCTACATCTTGGGGTCTTCAAAGTATTTGAAGGCTTCAATATCTGAGAGATAGGTGAGAGGATTATTCTAGGAGGAGTGGGTGAGATTTTGTGGCCTGCACTGTACAGGGGGTCAGACTAGATGATCATAATGGTCCCTTCTAACCTTAAAGTCTATGAGAGGGGTGACATGACACCTTTTACTTCTGCTCATGTGTCCATCTTGCCCCAAGTGTGTTACCTCCAGAGGCATGACTAACAGGGATCAAACACATAGTGAGTCTTTTTTAAAATAGTGTGTGTGTTTATTTCAAGTGGTGAGGGGAGGGGTGTGCATTCAGCTTTCTTTTAGTTCCTTCTTGCTGTTCTAGTGACACTTGTGGTTTTGAAGAATATGATCACAGCAACACCCATCTTTGTGGTTTCTGTCAACTGATAACAATCCTCAGCAGACCAGCCCTGCTGTCTATCTGCACCTTAGTTACAGCCTTTAGCCTACAACAAATATTGTGTACAATCTTGCATGCTTCTCAAGTTTCCTCAGTAGAGAGATCTGTAGTCACCCAGACTCCAAGGTTCTTTTCTTTTAATCTCTAAATGGGCTCCTATAGTGAAATGCAGTTTAATTTTTTTTAATGGTTTTCTACACTATGTACCCAATAAATGCACTTTAAGGACAATTTAGTTGCAGGAAGTGTTGTTCTGTATAGTGGGGCTCAAAATTCAATAACCTGGGTTGTATAATATTTATTCAGTTAGTGCTTTGTTTTTATTAATTGGGTTTGGGTCTCTGTGATAAGTACAGTAACTGATCCACTTTAGTAAGGAAGGAAAGGTGGGTGGGAGAGAGACTCAGCTGCATGGTGTGGGCCAGGGTAAAAAAAAAAGCCTTCTCCTTAGAACACACAGTACAGGTTAAACCTCTCTGAGATGGAAACATCCAGCATGATTGGAGTTAGCCGGATGTCCACTTTTCACGTCTCCTGGCTCTGTGTCCTGTGCTGTTCTATAATCCCTGGGGGCAGGGGAGGACGCAGCATGGAGTTCATGGAAGATCATTGGCTATTAGCCAGGATGGGTAGGGATGCAAAACCATGCTCTGAAGTGTCCCTAGCCTCAATTTTCCAGAAGCTGGACATAAGCAACAGGGGATGGATCACGTAATGATTCCCATAAGAACATACGAACGCCGTACTGGGTCAGACCAAAGTTCCTTCTAGCCCAGTATCCTGTCTACTGACAGTGGCCAGCACCAGGTGCCCCAGAGAGGGTGGACCGAAGACAATGATCAAGCGATTTGTCTCCTGCCATCTCTCTCCAGCCTCTGACAAACAGAGGCCAAGGACACCATTTTATCCCCTGGCTAATAGCCTTTTATGGACCTAACCTCCATGAAATTATCTAGCTTCTCTTTAAACTCTATTATAGTTCTAGCCTTCACAGCCTCCTCTGGCAAGGAGTTCCACAGGTTGACTACACGCTGTGTGAAGAACTTTCTTTTATTCGTTTTAAACCTGCTCCCCATTAATTTTATTTGGTGTGTTCTAGTTCTTCTATTTACGGAACTAATAAATAACTTTTCTTTATCGGCCCTCTCCACACTACTCATGATTTTATATACCTCTATCATATCCCCCCTCAGTCTCCTCTTTTCTAAACTGAAAAGTCCCAGTCGCTTTAACCTCTCCTCACATGGGACCCGTTTCAAACCTCTAATCATTTTAGTTGCCCTTTTCTGAACCCTTTCCAAAGCCAAAATATCTTTTTTGAGGTGAGGAGACCACATCTGTACACAGTATTCAAGATGTGGGCGTACCATAGTTTTATACAAGGGCAGTAAGATATTCTGGGTCTTATTTTCTATCCCTTTCCTAATAATTCCTAGCATCCTATTTGCCTTTTTGACCGACGCTGCACTCTCTGTGGAAGTTTTCAGAGAACTGTCCACGATAACTCCAAGATCTCTTTCCTGATTTGTCGTAGCCAAATTAGCCCCCATCATACTGTACGTATAGTTGGGGTTATTTTTCCCGATGTGCATTACTTTACACTTATCCACATTAAATTTCATTTGCCATTTTGTTGCCCAATCACTCAGTTTGGTGAGATCTTCTTGGAGTCCCTCACAGTCTGCTTCTGTCTTGACTATCCTAAACAGTTTGGTATCATCTGCAAACTTTACTACCTCACTGCTTACCCCTTTCTCCAGATCATTTATGAATAAGTTGAAAAGGATTGGTCCCAGGACTGACCCTTGGGGTACACCACTAGTTACCCCTCTCCAATCTGAAAATTTACCATTTATTCCTACCCTTTGTTTCCTGTCTTTTAACCAGTTCTCAATCCAAGAAAGGACCTTCCCTCTTATCCCATGGCCATGTAATTTACACAAGAGCCTTTGGTGAGGGACCTTGTCAAAGGCTTTCTGAAAATCCAAGTATACTATATCTACTGGATCCCCCTTGTCCGCATGTTTGTTAACCCCTTCAAAGAACTCTAATAGATTAGTAAGACAGGATTTCCCTTTACAGAAACCATGTTGACTTTTGTCCAACAAATTATGTTCTTCTACATGCTTCACAATTTTATTCTTTACTATTGTTTCGACTAATTTGCCCGGTACTGAAGTTAGACTTACCGGTCTGTAATTGCCAGGATCGCCTCTAGAGCCCCTTTTAAATATTGGTGTCACGTTGGCTACCTTCCAGTCATTAGGT